AAGCAAAAATCTCTGACAACATCAATCTTTTTGATCTTCGTGTTCCAATGCTGAACCATTATAACTGTATTTTCAAAAACTGCCAACATAATTTGAGTTATTAAATAAATTTTATTTTAAATTTATATGGCCAAACTATGAGAAAGTCTTCTTTGTTCTAAACCTCTTAAGACGTTCGTTCTAAACAAGAAGAAGGAAGAACACCTTTTATAACAGTCACAATTTTGGACACTATAATTTGTGACGAAATTTTCCCAAAAAAAAAAAATACAGTGTAGATCGATGTTAATCGGCTTAAACTGTGTTACTGAGAATGAGAGGGATAAGATTCTGATTACAGTTTGCTTTGCGTTTAGTAAGTTCTCACTTTTTGAAAACTATAAATTGCAAAAAACTGAAATCACATTCTTTCAATCAAAACCACTAACAAATACATTTTTACAGTTTTAATAGTATCGTATCTGCAAACATTAGCCATTTCAAAAGTTTTGATAAAAAACTGTAGTCAGGATGTAGAAATGTATCTTTTTTTTTTTTGTACAATAAATAGCTAAAATAACCTTAAGATTTCTTGACCAGATTATCGCTTAAGCGAATAATCAAAGTAAAACTGTCACTGAATTATCAGGTAAAAGATAATCCTTCTTGACAGCAACAACGTATCCATAATTTGCAGTAGCAGATTCTAGAATGGCAGCAATCAAAGAACAAATATTTGCAAACGATGGTCTCCGAGTCGGTTGTTCATCCCAACAATCGAGCATCAATTTGTATCTATAAAAAAAAAAAAGTAGAGATGACGCATAGAAAATAAAACTTTTCTAAATTGCTAAAAACTTACATTTCCTCTGAACAAAAATCTGGTTTATCAAGACGTTTGCCAGAATGTAGGTAGTCAATAAGGTCCTCCGACTGAATGGATGAGTATGGAACTTCGCCAAATGAGAATATTTCATAAAGCAAAACTCCAAATGACCATCTGAAATGTTTAGAAGAGCATTAGTGTCTTACTTTTACGAAACATAACTGATGTTTGATATAGTATTTGTTATGCATACAATGAAACGATAGTATCTTTCCCACAACGAAAGTATAATAAACGCACACATCAGATTTATGGGAGTACTCATAGGATTTTAAAGATTCGGGTGCCATCCATCTGAGCGGTAGCCGTCCCCTTTTTCCAGTGTACAACAAACTGTCACTTAAACGGCACAAACCAAAATCACTAACCTGTGTAACAGCTTCAATTAAACTCAGTTTTAAATTAGCACGACTTAAAAATTGTGGCCAAACAACCTGTAACTTAAAATAATACAGGATACAACAAGCAAAAAAATTTGTTATGACATACTTTAGCAACGTAGCCACTATCCACGAGAATATTACGCGCAGCAATATCACGGTGGATACATCCGATACTGCTTAGATATTCCTAAAAGTTACAATTCTTGTTGTATAAAAGTAATAAAAAAAAGTAGACTGATATTTTGCGTTACATGAAGTTATAATGCAATTAAATAAGCTTTTGTACGATTAATCTCAAAAACGCTCTGACTGTAGATGGTAATAACTTTAAGCGTCAGATGTTGCTGGCTAATAGTTCAGTACATTCCTCCTCTCTAGAAACGCGCTAATGAAGCAGCAAACAAGTTTACAAAAAATATTTTTAATTTAGTTTTGATTTTATATTCCCCTATTCTTATAAAATTGGTCTTTAAAGAAAAAGATAAGAATTAAATTTCAATATTCTATCTAAACTGCACGCCCACTCGGTAAGGCATTGCACTGCATTAATCGCTCACAACACCAATAAAGTAGGGTAGTTTTGGGTAGAAAAAGCTAACCAAACCAATTTTTCGCTCCTGTATCTTTACTTCTATTATTTGTAAAAATATTTAGATCTTAAAATTTGAAGGTTTACGCGTATTTGGTAATCTTCATAATCTCTTCTGCAATTATCACAAAAAAGTCATTTTATCTACAGCTGGCAAACGGCTTTATGCTAGTTGCTTCTTGACGCTTTTAAGGTGATTATCACATATCTAAGACTGTGCGTTGCTTAATTAACAGTAGAAATTTTTGAAGAATTTGTTCTGCAGAATTTTTTCCGCAGCAATCTGCTAAAAAAGCTTTTCAGCTACTTCCACCAAGCACCCCCATCTAAACTCTTCCTGCTTCTTCTTAGCTGAGCTTTAGTGGTCCTATTGAAACTGGCATCAGCATATGATATTTTTATCGACTGCAAGGCCTCATTCCAGGATTGGTGTTATTGAAATCGAAGCCTTAAATCGAAAACTCTGCTGTTTTTTTGAAGCACAGTCAGGCTTTGTTGTTATTTTTATAAGAAACCTATCCAGTTTATAAAGCTGATATCAATACAGATTTATCAGGCAAATTCTAGATTTATTCACCCCTACACTTGTTATTTTTAAACAATTTATTTTGAGAACAAATTGCACCTTTTCAATTTTATAAAACTGTGCGCACGTATTTCGTATGCGGAAAGGAAAAACGAAACTGTTAAAAATGTTATAGCAGTTACTAACAGAAAAAGAAAAACAAATAATTTTTTTGAAACCAAAAAAGTGTCCCCGAAACTGAGACCAAAAAGAAGGGAAGAAAGCATACTATATTTCGTTTTACCGACCTATTGTTACCACTGTAGTTTATAAAATAAAACTAAGGCTGAAAATATCAAACAAGCATTCATTATTTTCTTTTCAAATAACAAAGGTATTTGCAACCATACCAAACCACTGCTGATTTGCCACCCAAATGATACAAGGTTCTTGATTTTTAAATCATATTCATTTTCATAACCCTATAAAACTGATAAATTTTGTGTAATTAAAAAAAAAACGTAAGAACAAAAAGTTTATTATAAAAACAGATGAATTATTAAAAATATTCGAAAAAATAACATGTATATATATATATTTTTTTTTTTTTTTGACATATATATACATATATATATGTCAAAAAACTCAAAATAGTCCAAAAAATGCAGTAAAGAATTAGCAATTATTTTTTACAAATTTTTTTCTATAGTTAAATTGCAACTTACCTGTACAATTTGTTCTTTCTTCTGACGTAAAAGATGAAGCAAGTCACCGTGTTTACAGTATTCGACCAGTAACATCGGGGTTTTGTCATCATTAACCCAACCCAGCATGCTTACCAAATGTGTATGATAATGAAGCGTTTTCATAAAGTTTATTTCCTTAAAGTTAAAAAATAACATAAGAAATTATAAAATGGTGTTGAAAAAATACTTCTTGAGGTTTAGAGAAGCAAAATATGATTATCGTTTACCTGCATAAAATCAGATCGGCCGATGTCATCAGTAAATTCAGGTAATATTTTAACTGCACATTCACAGTCGCAAAACAATCTTGTAGCTGCCAACGATGAACTAATTCTGCAAACTGGAGCTTTGCCGACAATTTTTCCTTCAATAGTATGACAGCAATTACACGATGGAGGAAATTAACATCTGACAAACAGTAAGTAATTTGATTAAAAGCATAATTAAAAAATTATACCTTTGTAGACGTCACAAAATGCACCAGAACCCAATTTTGCACCAAAATTGATGATAACGAGACTTTTTTCAATTTCCCACCTATCATTTCTAAATTACAATTTTTCGCTTTTTCATATTACTGAACAGTCATTTTTTCACTCTAAGCAACTATTTGTACAGCATTTTCAAAGTTTTGTTTGATCTTTAGCGAACGACAAACAATAACAACAATAGCAAAAAATTAGTATAAAATAAAAATTTTTTTAGCTTTCAAGTGGGTATAAATCAGTATACTTTGTTAAACGCTCTCGGGAGATTAAGTCATTTTCGGTAAAATGGCTAACTGTTGAGCTTTACAACTAAGTTTGCAAAGTATGAAACTTAAAAAAATTGAGACTGTCACGGCACTAACTTACTGTTTATGACTGGAGGTTACTGCAGGCTCTGGAGCACAGTAATATAGTTCATTCATAAGACAGAGCGCATTTTCATATTCACGTGATTTACGATGTTTTCTACTTCGATAGAGCACAACAGCAATAAATGCAATGATAACAGTGACCAAAATACCGAGAATAACGCACAAAATCACTTAACATAAACAGATTTAGTAGAAAAAAAAGTATTCATACAAAACTGCTTTAACGGTGATTTTAATTTGAAAGTTCACCTAAATATCGAAAAAGCTATGTTTTGTGTTAGCACAAGTTATTATTAGCTCAATACGCTCAAGTATTCTGATATTTAATTACAATTGAATGTTTAAATAATATGCAAACTACTGTACCTTCAATAGTACCAAAATTATTCCACATTGAATATTGCTTTTCAGTACGAGCAGAAGTAACACTGCCATTTTTCGATGACACTTTGTTTAGAAAAGGTTTTATTTTATCTTCGTTATATGCTACAGTTGTTGTAACAATTTTTTTCATCTTCAGTGTTGTTAATTGCTCATCCATTTTAATTTCTCGCTTCCAGTCTTGTTCTCTTTTTACTTTAACACTGTTCCATCTATAAATTGTAAAATTGAAGGCTTAATATTGAATGTTTTCTGGATAGTTTCTTAAGACAATAATACACGGAATAGTAATTGACAATGTAGTTCTTTCAAGCAGCTGTGTTAAGACGTATGAAGTAAGTTGATCAAAAGAATTTTTAAGGCTGCTGTGTTATTTCTTGCGTAAAGTTGGTTCTTTGTAATCCACCGTGTTGCAAACTGTATTTAGACAATCCTGATCAGTTCAGTATACGTTCTGTAAACTGTTCAAGCTAGCACTGTAAAACTGCATAGAAGTATAGAGCATTCAAGTTTGGTAATGATAATAATAATACTGTTTTGTAGTTTTACTGTTACCAACTTTTTATTAGGTTGAAGTACCAGTTTTAGGAACTAGTTTTGTAGTCAATTACGGTGACTACTTGGGCTCTTTGAAAATTATCAGCGTTGCTTCATCTAGGGTTTTTTAATGCTTATATGACTTGAGCTTAGGAAAAGATTTGAGTGCCCAATTTTTTTATAGCTGTCATAATGAGAAGGCTGTCACAAAGAGAAGCTTATGATCTGTTATTTCGGTAAAATTTATGTTTTTTCATTTGAGAGGTTTCTGTTTTAAGTTCTTCAAAATTGTTTATTTGAAAACAAACACATAAATATAGTAGTTTGAAAAGTAAACGTGTAAGCAGTAAAATCTCTAATATCAGCATACTGCAACTTATTAATTTTATAAACAACGGATCCTTAACTGAACAAGAGCGCAAACCAAAATTATATACCAAATTATAGTGTAAACGTTAAGTTGAACTCTTTTAAAAGATCGGTTTTTTTGTGCAACTAAAAAATAAATTCTAGAGAGTTGCTACTTTTTTTTTCTAAAAAAAAAAAAAGAAATAATTGCAAAAAAATACCAGTTTACTAGTGTAGTAAAATAAAATTTTGAGGCTGAAATTGACATAAAATATGAATACAGATAGAATGTTACAAAATGATAACCAAAGAGGTTTAGTATTCTAATTGTCAAATAAGTTTAGAACCAACTATTTACAACAATTTTTTTTTTTTTTTTGCACACTACATATACTGCAGTTATTTGAAACCAAAACTTTTATAAACTTAGCAAAAAAACTTTTTTTTTTTTGTTAAAACATAAAAAGATTTTGTGACTGTTTCAACCTTAAACAATCTACCACATTCTCAAGTATCAATTTCTCTGATCGTTTTTTTCTTGAAGTTTAGTTGATAAATTCTAAAATTAAAAAAACAAAATTGCAGAAAAGAAAAATAAAAATGAAAAAAAGTTAATTTTTGGATAAAATTTGGTCAAGTAAAGTGGTAAAAACATTTTTTTGCAAAAAGAGTTTGTTTGATAAATTAAATTAAAAAAAAACAAAACCAACAACAATATTTCTGAATACAGAAAAAGAAGAATAAGAAGAAGAAAAGACAAGTAGAAGTGATGTTGAACTCGTTAACAACCGACTAAAACCTACAGTTTATGAAGTTTTTTGATTTGTTGCATAAAGGTATAGAAGAGCATTTTTTTGGTGATCTGTACTGGTAAAAAAAATAGCAAAACTTTTTTTTTTTTTTTTTTTTTTGCGATAGAATCAAATTATCAAAAAATGTTTAAAAAATTTTATTCAAATATTTGCAAAAAGTATTGAAACTGAATTAACGAGATTAATGGTGCAAAAAATTTTTAGCATTTCTTTCAGAAAACTTCGCTAACATATCGATAGCACTAAGAAACAGCAATCCTTTATTCGCAGTTCCTCCACTTCTCTATGCCAGTTTATCAAAATACATTATTTTTACAACAAAAAATGAATCAGCCAATAATGTATTATCTATTTTGTAGCTATAAACTATGCTAATAGAGTAAAGTTCAAAATTTTACCATTTACACGCATCATAAATAAAAAATCTTTATATGTTTGGGTTTGAACCTATCATCTAACGTTAATTCCAAGGCTTTGAATCACACTTTCACATCAGCTGTTTGGGTTTTCAAACTTGCTAACAGTTCTTCAAATGATTCTTTTGAAACTGATATCCCGATACAGTTTTTTTAATAGCGGGCCAATTTTTGAAGTGACCATGTAACTTTAGGTCACAGTTAACTATTTGAACTTTGATGATATCAACGCCTGTTGGAACAGAAAAAAAAACTAGGTCAAAGTCATTTACAGCAGTAGGAAATAAAATAAGCTACCACATTAGGATGGTTAAAAAACACGCAACAAGAATGATAAGTATGAATTTTTTTTCTTT